ACTTTTAAGCTGTTCTATACTATGTCAGAGACAAAGGAGAAAAAATCCAACAAACTGCTGTGAAGGCTTGAAAATGCTAATTTTAAATGGTATTAATATTTTTAAAAGTATCTGGTAGTTTTAATTCTGTTACAAGAATAGGGATTTATATGCAGTTCTGAGCTAAGCGGATTTTGGGTGGACTTTCAGGGAGTAAAAAAAAAATCACAGAACTTGAAACCAATACACAAAAACGTTAGTTCAGATCGTGTCTGAATCTGTACACAAGTAAAATCGGTACACAAGAAAAGGTTAGAATGGATATTGGAATACAGCTTCTGGCATTTGCTGCTGTGACAGTTGCAATACATTGCTGCAAAATGTTTGGTGCAGCTATGGCCTGAAATTCTCTGCACTTGATTTACTACTTTTGTTACTCCAGATTGCTAGGATGAATTTTAAATACAAATATTATTCCTCATCAGGTGGTTTGCTCTGCCTGTATCACTGCTCTGTGATGTTACTGTGCTGTAAATGGACCTTTTCCTGTTTCTTTGCCATTTCAGCAGTTCTAAAGATTTATTTTTCCCCTCCAATTGTGCAGTATAGGCTACTTCTGCATGGCCAGTCTGTTACCTACATCCACTGAAAATCGTTGTTGTTGCTCTGTATCCTCTTTGACCCCTGTGCTTTGGGCAGTATTGGAGCTGCATTTATTGAGGCACTCTGAAACTGGTCTGTGAAAGGAATTTGCAGGAGTTACCACTGCTCAGATCATCTGAAAACCAGAACTGGAGACTTTTTTTTTTCCCCCTCCTTCTGTAAGCATCCAGACCTGTTGAGGGCCTTCCCACTGCTCTGTAATCAGTATTGTGGGGCCTAAAGGCGGGACTAACACATGGAACAGGAAACTTAACTTGATACAATGAGCAATATGAGATTCAGGCTGTGATTGTCTTGCAGAGTTTCTTCATTTGGGGTGCACGCAGTTCAGGGAGCTGGCTCGAGCTCATCTAGGAAAAGAGGGCTGCTGTGTGAACAGCATGAACCTTCTTCCTATTGCAGGGATTACCACATAGGATCATGACAAGAGATGCGTCCGGGAGGACTCCTTGATTTTGTGACAAATTTTCGCATTTGGAACTTCATGCCTAAAATGAAAGAAGACACTGAGGAGATATCTCATTTTTTCAGCTGTATACCCCCAGATTTTTGTTAACTCTCCCTTCCTGACCATCTCTGTTCTACCAGAAATAGCTTGAGAGGGCTTTTTTTTTTTAAAGTAAGGAAGGCAGTTCCCAACCACGGCACTTTAGATGTAGTAGCGTAGGTTACTGGTGCAAACCACCGTTACTTTTACCCCACCATTACACATAACACAAGGGGGAAATGCCAGTAAAAGAGTTGCCCCCTGTAAAAAAGGTATCTCCCTTCCAGAAAAATTACAGTAACTTCAGGCAGTTAAGGTTGTGCTTGTCAGGTGAGATGCCAGATGACTTGTCTCTATCCTAAACAGACCTACTTATGTCTAACGTATATTTTGTGGCTTATTATCTTTGTACTTAAGGACAAAAGTATTTTTGAATTGCTAATATGGGGCTTAATGAAGATTGCTGCCGTTTGCAGTCTGGCTTCTAGGACCACAGCATGCTTAGCGCAAGTACATCAGTGGTTCTTTGCAGTTGAGCCCTGTGTTTCTGCATGTCGGGCAGTGAGCGAGCTGCTGATCTACACCGAACGCGTGTAACTTCCCTGGAGCTCCAGGCGGGAAGTGGGAGCACTTTACAGAAAAAGTAGAAGTTACGATGGTGGCACTTGCATGATGGTGGCGCTTGAATGTCGAGGTCCTGTAGAACAGGCCCGAGGCCATTGCTCTGTAGCAGTGTTGTCTTTCAGACGCTGCATGCACAGGCTAGAAGTTGTCACTCTGAACGGTGATCACTGGGATTACTAAAGGTGGCAGTTATCAATGTTTTGGGTTTTATTACTCTTTACAAAAAAGGAAGAATAACGATGCGTAGTGATAATGATTTGTTAAACCACAGAAGACAGACGGTCTAGGAAAGGGATATGCCAGCACATTTGCTGCTTTCTGTCACTTGCATGGGAATTGAATCGAGGAAATGACCGTTTGTTTGCCATGGGAATTGTAAAGGTAAAGCACGTACCAGGGCAACTTAATCTTCTTCCTTCTATCCAACGTCTGCCTCCTTTTGATTAGGTTTTGGCCACTTTACTTAGAAAAATGATTTAGGGGCAGTCTTGAAATGAAAAAGCCCCATGCCTGTTATTTGAAGAGGGACTGAGGTTACCGAGGCAGGCTCTTTCCAAAGACGTTTTGGCTTTCGTTATCCTGCGGGGGGCAGGCCGGGGTGGCACCGGCCCGTCCCGGTGCCCGGCTGAGGCCCCAGCAGCGGCACGGCCGACTGCAGCGCGCTCTTCCTCACCCCTCCGCTCTGGGGGACGTGTGGCCCTGGGATAGAACCACAGTCAGGGAGCACCCCGGGCTTGTACAGTATTAACTCAGACCACTTACATAGGACAGATGGGGTGAAATACGAGGGGTTGCCCTGCTGCTTTTATGAAGAGAAGCAGGTAGCCTGTAGTAGCAACAGTGGCAGTGGAGGTGGTGGCTGCTATACAGAAGACTATGCAGTGAACGTGCAGTACACGCTTCCTGATGACACCTTGCCAAGCTGCTGTAAGGGTGTATGTGATCTGGGTCAACGCATTCCCATAATTCCTGAAGACAGAGACTGTGAGCTGATCCTACCTACAGAGTGCCAAGGGACCCACGCAGGAGGCTGCAGTTCCTGGGATGGAACACCTGAGCTAGATACTTACCTGCAATGCCAAGGTCTCGGAGAGGTACAGGACGAGAGGGAGGTGTGCTACGAGGCAACATCATTCCTACGGCAGAACTACTCTCAGGAGGAGGAAGCTGGAATGTTCTTCCCCGGTCCCACTCCCAACTCCCAGAAGCTGATGACAACCACAATGGCCACAGGTAGTATGTGTGCTTTTTTGGATTACTCGCTACCTTTCTGTCCTAGCCTATGAAATGCTCCAGCTTCCTAGATACCTGCAGCCATAAAGTTTATTGCCATCCTTTGTGTAAGAGTAGGTTGTCGACTAATCCTTCACCCAGAAGTGCTGTTCTCTTGTTACCTGTGCTCACTTGGTCATAGCTAGAGAATAGAAGATCATAGTTTACTAAGTAAGAGAAAAGCTTTCATACTCAGGCATCCGAGGTGTTTATCTAACACCTTTATCATGTATCTCACGTGTTTAAGTAAGATAAGAGCTTTCATACTCATCCTTTGTGGGGAAGGGAAAAAGTGATTGCAAGTACCAGGCCCCCATTAGAGCTCCTACAGCCAGGGACACTGTGACAGTCGTGGCAGCAGTGGCAAGG